ACTCTGCCTTTGTAACAACAACAACAAATAAAAAAAAACCTAGCCATAGATAATATGTAACAAATGGGCACAAGTGTGTTCTGATAAAGCTTTATTTACAAAAACAGAAAGTGGGCTGATCTGTCTGCGGGCTGTAGCTTGCTGACCCATGCTCTGGGGAAACCACCACAGGTAACAACAGGAGAAAAGTCAAAGTTCTTTTCCTTTGAAACTACGAGGTGATTTTTAAATGGCTCTAAATGGGAACATTTTTAAAGCTACTTTAAAGGAAAAAGAACTTAAAAGTAAGTCTCTATTTGGGGGTAACAGAGATAATCTCATCATTACCATTATAGGGTCCACAGAGGGTATCTTGCTCCCCAAATAAAAATTCCAAAAGTGGAATAGGGGCTATTCTCTCAATCAGACCCTTTACTTTCCAACTCCCAAGATCTAAAGGTGACTAAGACCCATAAAACATAGCCTATAAAGAAAACTTCAAAACAAAATTACAACTAAGTTTCTTTGAGATTATTATCATCATTTTAAAATTTTATTTTTGAAGCAGTTAGGGTCACATGGGTACTTCCTATATGCCTTCTCATACCAAGATCCCCCATCAGAGTGGTGCATTCAGTACAACCCAAGAGCCTACGTGGGTACATCACCATCCAAAACTCAGAGTCAGAGTCAGCACTAGAGCTTGTTCTTGGCAGTACAGTCACACACGAGCAGGGCATGCTGCTATTGGTATTACACTGGCACAAAGGCAGCACAGCATCTAACCCTCAACAAGCATCAGCGACTCTGACGTCTGGCTGCCTCTCATGTACTGGAAATGGGGTAATGAACAAAATCAGATGAATTCAGCAGGCATGCTGCTTTTTAATTTCAACCTGTTTCACACCCAGGCTGAGCGCTTGGTGGAGGCCTCCTCCAGGAGTCACTGACCCTGAGCTCTGACTTGGCAGAGCAGCATGGCATCTCATGGCAGTGGTAAGTGTGTGACTGGTGTTAGTGGGGTGTCAGTGTCTATTATCTGATTCTCTGATCCCTTAAACCTACTCAACTTGCCACTGGGGCCCGGGGAAGAAGGTGGGACCATCCACCACATCATTCCAGGGCTTTAATAGGCCTGATGGCGAAGACCAGCCGGCGCTACCCCACCCCACTCCACCCCAGAGAGGGAGCATGATGAGCTTCAGTTCTGCTTGTAAGTTCTTTGAGAGGAAAGGGGGTAAAATCTTGTCCTTTAAATTTTTTGGTGATGAAGTTAGGTTCAAGTACAGAAAAAAGGAAACAAATACCATTACTTGTTTCAGATAAGGCCATAAAACAGATGTGGCATATGTGTGTCTTTTCTGACATCACGGCAACTGTTGGGAGACCAGCTGTATGGATTCTAGTGTGATCACCCATGGGAGTCTGCTTTGAACTACAGTGGATGGCATGTTCCTCGAGGCCCACTTAAAGATATGTCTGACAGCATGGATCTCAAGTTATTAGTTACTGAAGACTTGAACACATGAGCATATAAATAACAGATGTATTTGTTATGTAAAACAGGACTCAATCATTTCCTCTCACTATCTCTGTATGCCAGACATCTCTTAACAACCTCTTGTGTATATAAGTATGTGAAACAGCCATACAAACCCGTATTTATTGGTGATAAATCATAGACAAATGCATCTTAAACAGTTATCTGATATATGTGCATATATGTTTATAAATGTATACATGATAATATACACCACTTACTCATTTATTGAAGGTGAAAGCAAGGACTAAGGACACAGATAGGCTTGTTTATTTTTCCATAACTAATAAATTTTGGCTGATTATTCAACACTGGTCAACAAACAGCATCTTAGATTGTCTTCAGAGGTGACTAACAGTTCGGTTTTCTAACCACCAATGCTGGAAACTCACTTCACCTAACTATGTAACACAAAATGGCAGAGCACTGCTTACGGCCATTTCAGAGACCAGTGGGAATCTGAGACCTCCATATTCAATTCTGAGATCTTAAATGGGACTGTGACAGAGTGTAAGTAAAAAGATGGGTTCTAGAGAATTCTTTCCATTAGGCTTAAAACAACAACAAACCTGTTTTCCATATTTCTCAAACAGCTACCTTTTTAAGGTCTAAATGAGTAAAAGTAACATTTGGACAGGACATACAGACAACACTCTAAAAAAGGAGTAAGTGACAACTCATTTTACCTCCTCTGTTGATCTCGGAGGGCAGTGCAGGTGCCATCATATTCGTGTCCATTGGCTGAGAGCCATCCTGGGCCATGGGGTCTTCAGGAGGCAGGTAAGCAGGTGGGGGTGTGTCAGCTACAAAGTTTGAAAGAAAAAAAAATTCATGCTTCAGGCACATACTCTCCTCTGAGAGCTGAGAGCTTTTGTGTATGAGTAGGCCTGCTCACGTGCATGCAGATGCATGTGTGTGCACGTGTATGCAGGGGTCAGAGAATAACTTTAGGTAAACATTTTCCTTTTACTTATGGTGGGGGTCAGAGCATAACTTGGGGAGTTAGGTCTCTCCAGCATGTGGGTCTCACGATGGCAATAGGTGCCTCTGCCCACCGAGCCATCTGGTGAGCCCTCACTTTTTTGGTGGTGGGGTGGGGGAGCAAGGTCTTCTAATGCCTAGTGCTCTACAGGAATCCAGGCTGCTCAGCCAGTGAGCCCCAGGGCTCTCCAAGTCCCTGCCTCCTTGTGCTGAGATCACTAATCACTCAAACCAAATCAAGCTCCTTACTGAAAGATTGGCCTACACACTCGAAGATGGAGGGGTCAAGGTCAACCTTGGCTACATCAGGCCTTGCCTCACCCCTCCCTCATTCCCACCACCAAAAGACTAGATGCTGAAGACACTGGACTTTAGGTAACAATCACACCCCCAAACTTTGTTTCCAGTGACATTTCAGTGAGAAGAAGAAAATGTGAATCAGTCCCAGGAGTCCCATGCCTATCTAGGATCAGGTCACTTTAAACCCACCAAGAAGAGCCTATGGATATGCTCTTGTGCAGCAGACCCCAAGAACCCTGGGGTTTGGTTTTACTGATGTAAGACTTCCTGACAGGACTTGGTAGGGGAAAGCTCTCCCAGGCCTGAGAGCAAACATATGGCCAGGAATTCGCTCTCTGCTTGCTATAATCTACTAATTGAGACTTGGTTTCCCATGACTTTAAGCAATCTCCTTACTACCTTCACCCCAACCATTTAAGCAGTGACTAACTTTAAAAATCCCCAATAACAGAACACTAGGCAATAAATCAGCTTATCTCAGCTGTCTTCCATTTCAGAATTTACATAGAACCTTCTAAGTCGTTTCCAACAAATAATATGATTATTGAAACCACACACACACACACACACACACACACACACACACACACACCCCTACCTAATGCAAGCCTGGCATTTTCTTATTGTGAAACACAGGGCATTCCTTTTCCTGACTTGAAAACCAAGCTTCTCATTGGTTTGTGAGCCTACCAAGCATATACAGAAGAGACTTGAGAACAAAATTTTGCAGTAGGGATCCACGAATGCTTGGGTAAATACTTAGGGGACAACTGTAGAATCCAAAGAACAAACTTGGCTTGTTTAGGGCTCCCTGATGGTTCCTCCCTTCCCAGTCCCAGGCAGAATCTTAACCCAGCTGCTAAAGAGCAGAGAGCCAGCAGGCCTTGGAACCTTCACAGTCAGTCCCTCCTCTCACTCGAGCCTCTTGCTGAAGCGGTGAAGTTAACTCTGCTTGCTTCAAGCCAGGAGCAAAGGCGCAGTCTCTTCTCAATGGAACCCAATGAACTTACACCATAGCAACCCTGGCAGCATCAGGGCTCACAGGGGTCATTGCTGGTGGTGCTCTACCATCCCCACTAGATCACTGCCCTTCCTCTTTCCTCGCAAGGGCCTGTGCTAATCCCTGACAGTCAAGGACGAGAAGAAGTCTAGTGATAGCCTTTGATTCTTTCACTGGGGCTCCCCTGGGGTTGCCCCTGCTCAAAAGCCCTATAAAACAGACCTTTTCACCACTAACCTGTAGACCAGACAGACCCAATGGGCTTGCCAGGGAATGGGTGGCTAGGAAACCACCAAATATTATTAGTTTGGTTATTAAAATAATCTATCTCCCATCTTCATCCCAAACAGAAAACATAAATCAAAATAAACAGGCTGAAAACTAAGTGCTTAAAAAGAAGAAAGAGGAAGCAATAAAGCATGGATCACGTTTTAATTTCTGAAGGTACAACATGGATGCTGAAGTGAAACTTAATGTAAAGACCTTAAGTGGCTCTACAAACATGCCTGCTCCATCATTTTCCCTCACAAAAGTACCCATACATTCCATGATGATCTTTTATTTATCGTGTCCCTCTTGGTGTTGACTGGCAAGAGCTCTGGCACTAATATTTGGATGCTTGTTTACTAACCTGTTATCTGAAAAGTGTAATCTTCTAATTAGTCACTTATTTTGATAACTATTACACCATCCGTTATGACTAAAACAGGAAAATAACTGCTTTTTGTCTTTGCTAAGTTAAACAAGCAGATGGTCTCCAGCACTTCTGTTGCAATTCCTTGTTGTTAAAAGTACATATTTCTTGGGATTACATCACTGGCTAAATGACTCTAATTAAATTGGGGGGGGGATGATCCCTCAGGAAATAGCTCTTCCGCGGCTGCATTGATAGCAAGGGTTCTTCAATGTCGGAAATGCTCGCCAAAGCCGCTTCTCAGAACAGCAGTGTGTGTAACATGACATTTTCCCCTTTCTTTTTATGGAGAGCAGAGACTGGAACAATTGTGCCACTCCCAGAAGTATGCAGTTTTTGCAAAACTTTTGAAAACAAGAGGAAAATGTAACAGGACTCAAACAAGCCATCCTCTTCTCCAGCTGTACGTACAACTCCCCTCCCTACACTGATATTCTCCAAGCACTGGTTCACCAGGATGTGCTCAGGGTTCCATCCACCCCGCCTCCCGGCAGGCCACGTGGGGGGTGGAGGGTGGGTGCTGCTGCTGCTGCCTGGGGAGTTGGGGTAGCTGCTGTTGGGCGAGTGGGGAAACGGGTGGGTGCTGGGCTGCTGGAAGGAATCTGGAAACGTGGCGTTCAGTGGCATGTGAGGCTCATTCTGTCCCAAGTTGCGGAACTGTGCCAGAAGGCTGTGCTGAGGATTATACTCACTGTGCCTGGGAACCAGCACGGGAGGAAGGACTGGGGACAGAAAGAAAACAGAGAGACAAATGAGAAAGGTGAAAATCGGTGGGTAATTACATCACAGTAAGTGAGGACACACGACCTGAACTCCACCCTGCTGTCACAGGGAAACTGACTTTCCGCTCCAGAGTACAGCCTAGATCACAGGACCCCAGCCTGAGCACAGGGCCATTGGCCTGTTGACCTAGGAATGCCTCAAGATACAGTTTCAGATTAAAAATAGATGCTTTATTCCATTTAAAAATTTCCTATTCACAAAAAAAGCTAATGCACAATTAGCAATATACATCACCGGCTAGCCAAACAGCTTCATAGATAAAAGGGTTTGTCACACAGCTAAAGACCTCAGTTTGATCCCTGGAACTCAGGTAAAGGTGGAAGGATAGAACAGATCCACAAAGTTGGTGGAATCTCAATATGGGCATGACGGCATATGTACCACACACACACACACACAGACACACAGACACACAGACACACACACACACACACACACACACACACACACACCCCTAGCACTGTGGCATACACCCACATCCCAGTACTCCGGAGGGAGGCTAAGGCAAAGGGATCTGAGGTTGGGGTCCAGCCTGGGCCACTCTGTTTACATATGTACATGTCGCCACCAACACTCTCATTGACAGTCTGCTAAAATCTGGGTTAACATGTATTGAATGATATTATTTACCATTAAGTGTTTTAATTGACACATTAACGCCTTTTAAAACAAAAAGCAGTAAACAGCAAGCATGTGATTCCCAAAGGCAGGGAAGGTGGTTAGTGACACAGCCTCTGAGGTCCAGGGTGTCCTGGCAGCCATCCTTAGAAGCGTCCTTTCTGCAAGGACCTGCATGGATGCACCCACTTCTCCAGTCCTCAACAGGGCCAAGGAGGTCACAGAAGTTACGGTCACATGTGCCAACTGAAAACCCCAAGACAGGAAGTCCAAGAGGTGGGTACCTAGACAACAAAAAGAGTTGTCTCCTGGAGTGAAAGCTAAGAGCCTTCGGTGATGGGAACCAGCACAGCTACTCCAGAAAATCCCAGCAGAGCCTCCACCATATGGCCACCTAGAATGGACAGGCTGCCTAATGATGACTTATAGAACTCTGTCCTGGGGAGTGCCACTAGACCCCCCATGTCCTCTGGGGTCACCAGGTGGCTCCCCTTAGTGATAAAGACCTTCAGGAGCCCCGCTGCCCTCTCGGTCTCAAGGGAAGGAAGGAGCTGTTGGATTGGCTATTGAGAATGGTGACCAGGGCCCCCAGTGCATTTCCCTAGAGAAATGTTGTGTGACATTAGAAATGGAGTGGACTTCGGGGCTTTCCAGTGCTCCCATTGGAAGGCATGCACAACTCGTGCTTATCACTTAGCTGTGAACCGTTGGTAAGACAGATTTGGGGAAAGTAGTAAAATTCCTCATACTCATTTGTCAATTACCATGAAGTGTTAACACTTGTAGATTTCCCTTGCTATTTGAGTATAATAATTTATTTCTAGCATAACGATGGAATCTGCCCAAAGCAAGACAGTATTTTCTACTTTTCCTTTCCAACATTCAATTGAGGTGAAAACTATATCAAGGAAACCCCTAGTAAAAAGCCTATTGGCAGCAGAAACCTATCTCATTTGTGCTATGAAACACAGCTCAGTATCTTGAATTACTTATGTATACATAAACATTCCTTGTCTTTCAGCTGCTGCAGTGTGAGTTAGCACTTCAATTTGCTCCTTCTTCCTGCTTTTCTTCCTTTTTTGACTCAGCTCCCTGAAGCTTTTCCTTACATTAAGCAGATTCTACTTCCTAAGCCACCTATTTTGGTAACTCTCATTGTCTAACAGCTTCAGAATGGGACTGTTCCTACCGCCAGCCACGGGGGTGAAATTAACTTCATGACAGCAAAGGACACTGTGCGTCTGTACCCCAAGCTCTGCACAGTCCTGCTGTCATCTCATTTGGTAGTGATCTGCATCAAGGCACAGTGCTGAGGTGGACCCAGTGCACATCGGAGACATCCATCAGCGGTTAGATGACCATGGACATGAACCATCTGTACTTGAAGACCTCTAGATGGTGAATGTGACAAGTGACCTTTTTCTCATCCCTGACTGTTTTACATTTTCACGGTACTGTGGGTCGAACCCAGTGCCCTGTACACACTCAGTATGTATACCACCACTAAGCTACACTTTAAGATGACTGCCTCTGCTGATGTAGTCCCAGGTACCTCTAGTTAACTAAGCTATTCTAAATCTACAGTAAGGTGCACAAATCTTCAAATAAACAACGTTTTAACCCAATTCATCAATGGCTCAACATCATTCTTGTGAGATTCACCCAGTTTTATGAGTAGCAAGTTACTCTATGTATCTGCAATTTATCGGATGATATAGTGTGCCTCCAGATGACCTGGGGAGTTTCCAGGATGGGATCATTGTAATAAAGTTTCTGTGAACATTATTTTCAGTCACTTCTTATTTTGACACAAACTGTCATAGTAGTTAACACTTTTATTTTCTCTTTTAACATTAAATTTATCATCATCATCATGTATGTGCCGTGCGCAGTGTGTGTTGAGGTCACAGGACTTCTCAGAGTCATTCTGCCCCACTTTTACATGGGTTCTGGGGACTGAACCCAGGTCTCCAGTCTATGTGACAAGCACCATCACCCACTGAACCATCTCACCTTCCTGATCCACCCCCATTCTTAACACTTCACCACATTTACTCAGTCATTCACTCTCTTTCCCTCTCATGCTCCAAACACTTCCCACCCCACCCCTGAATGCTATGAGAGCAGGACAGACAGACAGACAGACAGACAGACAGACAGACAGACAGACAGACATACATACATACATACATTTTGCTTCTTAACTTCACAATAGTCAAGATACACAGTAGTACTAACTTCCACAGATACATGAGACCATTACTGACACAGTAACCATTGGTGTATTTATATATGAGTGATTTTACAGACGCCTCTCAACTTCAGTTCCTCTGACAGTAGCTACCGTACATACTGTGCAGGCGACATTATGCCCTTCTCTGGGTACATTCCCCAAAGCCAACCACATCTGTCTGTTTCCTTTCAACTGCTCAGTTAGACTACTGCCCATTTCACTTACCATCCACAGCTACTGTGCCTTTTTGTAATTACAGTTGGCAGATCCTCCAGACTGAGCACACCCTCCATTGCTCTTCAGACTTCACCAACCCTGAATGTACATTTTGCTTCAATCAACTTTTGCTTAGAGAGTTGAAGCATGACTTTTCTGTCATTCCATTACCTGTATTTTTCAGTCAGAATTCTACCCCAAGGAGGGACTTCCCCATCTCTGGCTTCCCACTCATCTATAACAGCCACTGGCATGGATTTGTGAATTCTTGATAAATGGGCTGAAATGTTCCTATTCTTGTCTATTTTGTGGTCCATTATGTCCTACAATTGGCCACTGTTTTCTCTTCATGCCTTTTAAAACATGCTGCTACTCTTTAAGCATTTCTCTAATTTTTGAAACATGGTGCTCCTGGCTTCTGTCTCACTTCTTCCTCTATCCCTGGGGCCCTGGTCCCTGCTAGTAAGGAACATCATAGACTCAAAAGTCACACTAACTCTAGGCTGTCTGTGTGCACATGGGGATGTATGCAGTAAGGCTTTGTTTGCAATGCTCTCCCTAAGTCCAACTCAACTCCACCAACTTTTTATTTGCCTTTCTTACTATGTATTCATCTGTATTAAAGTTGGAATTTTTGAGGCAGGGTCTCATGTAAACCAAGTCAGCTTCAAACCTGTAGCCAAGGATGACTTTGAACTCCTGATTCTCCTGCCTCCACTTCTTGCACACAGGGATTATTACAGGCATGAATCAACTTGCCTGGTCCAGTTTCAATACACTTATGAATTCCCTTAAATACATTAATTTTCTCTCAAAATGACTATATTCATACCATCTTAGGAACTACACCTAGGAATTTGTTTTATTTTAAATTTGTTTGTGCAAAATACTTGAATTCACTCAAGCAAAATATTTGAATTTGCTCAAAGTGTGTTTGGGTGTGACTCGAACCTTCAGTGTTAAACTTCTCTGCACAATTTATTGCCAGTTCTCACTGATTTCGTAAACCCAGAAGACACTGACATGGTTCTGAAGGTCAGAACAACATATCTCCTATCTCTTCTGCTCTGTTCCCTCATCCTAACCTCCTCACAAGGTATCTAGCCCTGAACCCTTCTGGGGTATGCAGAGTTTCCCAGTTTATTTAGGTTTCTGATCCACTGGTTTTGTTTGTGGCATAAGGAATGCTTGTAATTTTACCTTTTCTGAATCGTGAGCCAGATACTTTCAATGCCACTGATTAAGAGGCCATCTCTGTCCTGAGGACTGGGATGCTACCTTTTCCATAATGTTCTGTGTAAGTTCTGTCTGTTTTCAGACATTCCATTCTTCTCTAGTCTGTGCCCAGGTTAAACTGGCTAGTTGTTGTTTTAAAATTACATTTTGCTATGTGTGTGTGTGTGTGTGTGTGTGTGTGTGTGTATGTGTGTATGTATTTGGTTTTGAAAGACAGGGATTCTCTGTGGAACCCTGGCTGTCCTGGAACTCACTTTGTAGACCAGGCTGGCTTTGAACTCACAGAGATCCGCCTGCCTCTGCCTCCTGAGTACCAGGATTAAAGGCGTGCGCCACCACTGCCTGGCCCATACCACAGTATCAATGAAAGGGGTTGCAATGCCTGACAAGCCCAGGTCCTGTTGGTTTTGCTTCTCAGTGTTCAGCTGCATGCTTCTCTTTCCCAATGCCGTTAGTTACCACCCTGTATGCCTTTTGGAAACAAAAAAGTTCTTGAGTCTTTACTGAGATGCTATCACATTCATAAGTTAACAGTAAAGATCAGTATCTTGGTGAGGAAATGCTTTCTTTAGAATAAGGAAGAGCTAGCTGGGTGAGAGGTGGAGATGTAGGCAGGAGAGTATTGAGTACAAAGCT